TTGAGGACTTAGGGGGCATAAGTACTGTTATGATTGGGGCTAGAAGCACCCTTATCACCCAAGTAGGGAATAAGCGTCTAGGAGCTAGTCTAGCTAGAGTGGGTGTTTGCGCGGTGCGGTAGCTCTTATGCTGAGGCTTCTATCGGGAGAATGTTGATCACAACTCAGGCTTCGGTACTGCTCGAACCAAACAACCTTATATAGTCACTTCTCTACGGGCTTCGGGTTCAGGGCTTTTGGTGCATTACGGCTTCGGTCACTGTAGGAATTAGGGCTTTACTTTTTCCACATGGTACACTCAACAACTTCAAAAAAAATGTAAACGATTTTGTGCTCAAGAACAGCGACAACAGTTGCTCCGATGCGTTTGCGGGTTTAGGGCTTGTAGAGCTTACAACTAGGCAAACCTACAGATCGCTCAATGACTAGGGTAGTTTTCCAAATTAGGGCCCCTTAGTGGGTTCTTATTATCAGGGTGCCATAATATATACAAAGGCTGTTGTTTCGCAGAAATTGCGAGAGAACTACCAACACCTCGCCGACTCCGTCTCTGAATTCTATGCTCAGGAACCCGCGTTCCTGAAGGTTGGCACGGCTTTCTGCTGGAGACCCCGGAAACCCTAGGTCTAGGGTTTAGGGTTTAGGTCGGAGGGATTTAGGCAGACGACAACACATCAAAACTACATAGCCAAACTCCGCCCTAAACCCTAATTCTAAACCCTAAACCCTAAACCCTAAACCCTAAACCCTAAACCCTAAACCTAAACCCACCTGTGTGGATGTGGCGCTTCTTCACCTCCTCCCGCGCGAAGACCAACAATGCCTCGGCCAGAGCCACGGTTTAGGGTTTAGGGTTTAGGGTTTAGGGTTTCGAGATTCGGCGCTGGACAACGGCGGGGTAAAGGATTCCTCTGTCTGCTCAGCATGCTGACAACGAGGCGCACCATGCGCAAGCCACAAGGTAAGTCAGTTGGTGTCAAGAACTGATGCACTGGTCAGCCAGAGGCAACTTATGAGTCATAACCCGAACGACTGGGGGTTGAGCTAATATACGAACAGGCGAAAGCCGTTCTTGAAATAACGAGGGGGGTCTTAAGCCCACCGCTCTAAAGATATTTTGCGCAGCCTGCATGCATGCACGCGCGTCCGCACACATGCAAGCAACTTCACCCTAGCTATTTCCTATTAACGGGTAGAGGAGGTTGTTCTGGGCTTCGGGTTTTTGAGATTTCAAACCCACCAGGGCCCCCAAGAAGGGATCCTTGATCCTACTTGTACTGCCCTAAAGCCCCAATACACACCTGTGGCCCCCTTTGTAACACCAAAGTCCCCCTTTTCAGCATCCTTCCGTTGGCATTTCCTTCTGGAGAGACAAACAGAGACTCAACGACCCTAACTCCAGAGCCGTTTAGCCTTAGGGCTTAGGGTTTAGGTAGGGTTTAGGGCTTAGGGCTTAGGGCTTAGGGCTTAGGGCTTAGGGCTTAGGGCTTAGGGCTTAGGGCTTAGGGCTTAGGGCTTAGGGCTTAGGGCTTAGGGTTTAGGGTTGAGGGACCCACAGCCCCAAGCCCAAGACCTAAAGCCCGCACCCGAAGCAGTGTCCATTGCCCGCCCGCCTACATCGCCCGAACCTTTAGTCTCTCGTGTTCGCCCTTAAACCCCAAACCCTAAACCCTAGACCCTAAACCCTAAACCCAAACCCTAAACCCAATACCCTAAACCCTAAACCCTAAACCCTAAACCCTAAACCCTAAACCCTAAACCCTAAACCCTAAACCCTAAACCCTAAACCCTAAACCCTAAACCCTTCCTCCGGGAACGTGACATCCATCTGCCGCTGTCCGCGGAAGTCGGCCTGCCGCGGCTTTGAGAAGCCAGTTGGGCTGGGGCTTAGGGTTTAGGGTTTAGGGTTTAGGGTTCAGGGTTTAGGGTTTAGGCTTTAGTGTTTAGGGTTTAGGGTTTAGGGTTTGGGGTTTGGGGTTTGGGGTTTGGGGCTTGGGGTGAAACTTAACTGTCATCATTGAAAGATACTAGCTGGTGATGGTAATACTATATTCACGTCGCAAAGATCCAAGATGGCACGATTAGAAAGGTTATTCTTGGACGTCTTATTGCCTGGCACAGAGAACGCTTCTAAAAGGGTGGAAACAGAGTGGAAAAGCCACTATGAAGACGACATCAAGGGTCACTCGGTGAAGGGTGTACGTTAATACGAAATGACAGATGCTTTAGGATGTAAATAACCTGGCATAGAAAGGTGTAAAATTAAATAAGGTACCAAAAGTTGAGGTCATTCAGAGCTAGAACGCAGGATTCATTCTATTCACGGTTCGCGCATACATGTAAAATAGATTGAAGGGACGACGGGAGTGAGCAAAGCTAATTTGTTAGTGCACGAAATTAACTTGCGCATGAACGAAGTAAAAGCCTGAATTCTTATTGTCAAAAGCTTGCGTGGCGCTCAGGGTTTTAAGCCTTTAGGGCTTTAGGCTGGGTCTTTAAGGTCTTACTGCCCAACCCCTACCCCTCTCCCGATAGCAAGCGCGACAGGAGGCGCCCAGTTTTTGCCAGCACTTCCTCTGCGATAGAGCCTTCATGGGGGTTCAGGGTTCAGGGTTTAGGGTCCAGGGTTTAGGGTTTAAGGTTTGGGGTTTAGGCATGCGGCCCAGAGCCTAAAGCCCCCCGCTTGGAATAAACAGGGAACCCTTATTGCTTGCCTAAATGCTACACCCCATACCCCAAAACCCTAAACCCTAAACCCTAAACCCTAACCCATCACAAGACCTGCCGTTTGGGTCGAAGGGGGCTTGGGGTTGAGGGTTTAGGGTTTGGGGTTTGGGGTTTAGGGCAATGGGGTTGCGGCTTGAGTTCCCCTTAGAGAATCCGAGCTTAGAGTTCAGAACTTAGGGAAGGGGCCATGGGCTGAGGGTTTAGAACCCTAAACCCTAAACCCTAAACCCTAAACCCTCGGTGGCTTCCCTGTTCACTTCTGTGATCGCAAGCTCGTGGGTGGGCCCGCAGGAGCTGGGTGAGGACCCCTGGTTCTGAGTAAGGAATGAGGGAATGAGGGCCCCCATGTCTACCCTTCCAGGGTATAGATGGGGTACTCACAAACCTCAAACAAGGGGGTTCCGAAATTAGGGGTACCCTATTGGGGTCCTTATTCTAAGGGAATCCTACTTACTTCTTGGGGGGGGGGGGGGGGTATTTTAGGGTCCCCTAATCGTAAACCCCCATTTGAGGGTTTAGGGTTTTAGGGTTTAGGCCCTGGGGATTTGGGGCACCGTACTTGGTTGGAGGTTCATGGGTACTTTATAACCCCAATTCTAGCTGTACTGACTTATACTTGAGGTCATGAGTACACATGAACCTCCAAGTATACTTTAAGAACACAGCGAAACACTAGGAAATTGTCTCGGCTCCTGCAGCACACCGCCCTACGCCCCAAACCGTAAGCCCCAAGGGCACACGCTTTCCCCGGCCTAATCGTTGGAAACGCCTGCACCTTCTGCTGCTGGCACGTCTCCTGCAGAGAGGCGACTGCACAAGTTTAGGGTTTAGGGTTTAAGGTTTAGGATTTAGGGTTCGGGTTCAAGGTTAAGGGCTTCGGGTTTCGGGGGGTCAGACGCTTGAAGGGGGTTTGGGGGTTTCTTAGGGATTAGGGCATACGGAGGGCCTTAAAAACTCAAGGATTCCTTGCAGAAACCATTGAGGTCTACGGTGGGATAACTCAGCACGGGGCGGGTAAGGTTGGTGAGTCTGAAAGGGAAAAACGTAACAGGCTCAGGGTGTTGGACATTTGGGTTCGGGTTGCGCGTACCCTTAACCATAAACCCTTCATAAACCCCAGACCCTTTAATCCTACGCCCTGTATAAGCCCCGAAAGCCCAAAACCCCTAAATCCCTAACCCCTAACCCCTAAACCCCGAACCCCAACACCCCAAACTCCTAAAGCCCTAAACCCTAAACCCCTAGACCCCTAACCTACACCCCTGAACTCCTAAACCCCTGCACCCCTAAACCCTAAACCCCCCCAGACTTTACTGGGTTGGCCTTTAAACACCCTGACAAATATTTATATATAGGGTCCCTTGTAAGTATAAACCCCAACAACGGAAATACAAAATGTCCCAAAAATCACACAAGACTCCTCGAAGTCGACGCAGTTGATCTTCAACGCACGGACGTTGGCCCGGACGCCGTCGGCGTCCACGACGGGGTCCTCGGCGCGCGGGCACCGCACAAAAAGGGGCGCCAAGTACCAATAGCCGAGCCGAGGACGAGGGTTTAGGCTTTATAGGGTATAGGGTTTAGAGTTTATATAGGGTTTAAAAGGGTTTGGGCTCGGACTACGCCGCGGTTTACAAGGAAACCCCACCTCAATTCAGACTCGAGACCCCTTCAGCTGTTCTCAAGCTTGGACCCTTAAGGATCTACCCCGAAGAGGTTACCTTAATATACCCCCAAGGTGGCCCCTATATTCCCCAAACCCTAAACCCGAAACCCTAAACCCCAAACCCTAAACCCTTGGAGATGTAGTCAGAAGGAAGCGAGGGCCCCTCCATGCGCGCCAGGCCCCGGTTTGGAGCTTTTGTGGGTCTTTGGAATCCCCAGACTCAGACTTGGCTGCACTCAGGGGGGGTAACCAATTATAACTGTACTTATAACCCTACTTATAATTGGGATAACCCCTATAAGGCACTTTAGGGGTGTTATAAGTAGGGTTATAAGTACAGTTATATTTGGTTAGTAAGTAAATTAAGGGTTTCGGATCGAGCTGCCCCAGTAGTAGCATTGCCGACAGCCCCAGTCCCGCGGGACGACTTTGAGCCATTCCGATAAGAGGCTCACCTGTCTGGCATCGACGCCAGCGACAGCAGAGAGCCAAGGCCAGAAACCGGGTCCGTGACCAAAGACTTCGAGGCCTTGTGCCGTGGAAACGTGACCTGCAACTTCTTGCAGCTCATCACAGCCAGCCACGGTATCGAGAACTCCGCACCTCTATGGGAAAACCATGGAAAGCAAACAGTGGAAATGGCAAGTGGGCCTACTGGTCTGGCTCGTGGGCGGCGGCCTCTCCGAAGCACAGAGGACAAGCCCCCTGGCACAGCTGGAAGTCCGATGGCAACCAGAACACCGGCAAGGAGCAACCCTTCCCGACGTATACCAAGATGGCGATTGCCGGAGCCTCTGGAAACCAAGATGCCCAAGCGAGCTCACTTGGTGGTGCGGGGACAGACGACTTCATCAAGCACTTGCAGAAGGCCATCAACGATTCTCGCAAGTTGACGAGCAAGCTCCAAAAGCTCAGCCAGGACAGACAGATGAAGACCAGCCAGTGGGATGCCTTTCAGGCCGAGCTACGGAAGAACTTCATCTCACAGAAGAAGGCCTTCGAAGCAGACATGGCCAAGATAGAGCGGGAGTATGTGGAGGCAGAAAGACAGAGAGATACGGCGATGATCAACATACGTACCTTGGCCAGTCATGGCAAAACCATCGAAGCCAAGCCAGAACCGACAGTAACAGCCGAAGAGGCGGCGGCCTGGAGAGATCTGCTCACTCTGTCACAGATGGAAGAAGAGGATGTCAGCGAGGCGGAGGTGGCACGAATGCTACAGAGTTCCACGGGATTGTCGTGGGAAGAGAAGATGCAGCGCCTGGTGGGAAACCTTGGGGAGAGATCCAGCGTGGGGGAGTCTTCGGCGAGGACTCCACAAGTGGATGCTTCCTCTCTGCATCTTGCCGGACATGGTTTTGCCACCCCAGACCGCAGGACAACCCGAGTGCCACAGATGACGCCGGCCGCAGCCAAGAAGCCAGGCCCGACAGAGCAGGATCTGGCAACAGCAGCTGCAGTTTCGAAGTATGTCTCCACCTCCCCGACAGTGGCAGCCAGCGATCCCTATCAGGGAGATGCTGCGACTCACTTGCATGTTGGTGGGATGACGGCAGAGCCTTCTGGGCTCCACAATCCCACTTACGGTCCTCTAGGTCGGCGATCCCCACACTCGGGCAGAAAGAAGGATCTTCCCACTGGCCGTGTTACTGGTCCACCCGATGCCCCGAGAGCCTCTGTCAAGGCTGCGTCAATGCAGTTCTCGCCCACGCGGACGGCTGGAGGCATCGACCTAGCGGCCAAGCTGGATGCACGTCGGCAGGCTTTGGACCCAAATGGGCTGGTTTCGCAACCTTCGACTGTGACAGTTCCGGCGGTGATCGACGACGACATCAGCGACATGGAGCAAGATGGTGCCAGACATGCAAGTCTGGAGCGCATGGAGTAGAACGTGGCTACTTTGCACACTTTTGGGCCTGCACGAGAACCGCGAGCCGTGATGGGCCGGCTCACGTTGATCTCTGCGGGCTAGAGGGTGTGCAAAGGTTTGAAGTTTCGAAGGGCTCTGCTGAGTGTGAAGCAGGGGGTTTTTCGGTAGAGATCCACACGTCGCAAAAGTTTGGCGGTTGTAGGGTCTCACCAGGGTGTTGTACAGTCGTTCTACTTGTATGTAAAGCTGCTTGCGTGGCCAGCCAGCCAACGGAGTTTCTCCTTATCCCCCCCTTGCCCTCGGTACCTCGTTCTCATCCTTCCGCATCCCTGGCAGCCTTACCGCAGCGATCTCCCGTGAAAGACCGCGCAGGTCCTCCCGTCGCCTCCCTGTCGGTCTTGTCGCAGCGATCTCCCGTGAGAGATCGTACCGTCCTGGCGTTCTGCTTTGGCTCTTCGGTCAGGCCTCTTCTCCACTCCCGCTGCCTGTTCCCTATTCAATCTGCGGCCCTTTCGCGTGTTTGCACAGCCCTGGTGCTTGAGTCTTGCCATGCCTTCAGGCCCTTCAGCTGGCCCCGAGGTCTCTCTTTTCTTTTGTCGGCCCTGTCGCAGCGATCTCCCGTGAGAGATCGCACTGTCCTGAAGTTCTGCTGTGGCTCTTCGCTCAGACTGTCTCTCCAGCCCCGCTGTCTGTCGCCTACACACCCTTCGGCCTTGTCGCAGCGATCTCTAGTGAAAGTTCGCATCGACCTGGGGTTTGACTCGTGCCATCCCTACAGGCTCCTCCGCGGGCTTAGAGGCTTTTCTTCCGTTTCGTTGGCCCTGTCGCAGCGATCTCCCGTGAGAGATCGCACTGTCCTGGGGTTCTGCTGTAGCTCTTCTCTCAGGCTTTCTCTCCAGCCTCGCTGCCTGTCGCCTACACACCCTTCGGCCTTGTCGCAGCGATCTCTGATGAGAGTTCGCACCGTCCTGGGGTATGACTTGTGCCATCCCTTCAGGCTCCTCCGCGGGCTTAGAGACTTTTCTTCTCTTTCGCCGGCCCTGTCGCAGCGATCTCCCTTGAGGGATCGCACTGTCCTGGGGTTCTGCTGTGGCTCTTCTCTTCTCCACCCCCGGTGCCTGTTCCCTATACACCCTGCGACCCTGTCGCGTGTCCGCGCTGCCCCGGTGCTTGAGTCCTGCCATGCCTTCAGGCTCTTACGCTGGCCCCGTAGACTCTCTTTTCGTTTGTCGGCCTTGTCGCAGCGATCTCCCGTGAGAGATCGCACTGTCCTGGGGTTCTGCTGTGGCTCTGCGCTCAGGCTTCCTCTCCAGCCTTGCTGTCTGTCTTCGGCCTTGTCGCAGCGATCTCTAATGAGAGTTCGCACCGTCCTGGGGTTTGACTCGTGCCATCCTTTCAGGCTCCTCCGCTGGCTTAGAGGCTTTTCTTCTCTTGCGTCGGCCCAGTCGCAGCGATCTCCCGTGAGAGATCGCACGGTCCTGGGGTTCTGCTGTGGCTCTTCTCTTCTTCACCCCCGGTGCCTATTCCCGAAACACCCTGCGACCCTATCGCGTGTCCGCACTGCCTTGGTGCTTGAGTCCTGCCATGCCTTCAGGTTCTTCCGCTGGCCTCGAAGTCTCTCTTTTCTTTTGTCGGCCTTGTCGCAGCGATCTCCCGTGAGAGATCGCACTGTCCTGGGGTTCTGCTGTGGCTCCTCGCTCAGGCTTCCTCTCCAGCCTCGCTGTCTGTCTTCGGCCTTGTCGCAGCGATCTCTAATGAGAGTTCGCACCGTCCTGGGGTTTGACGCGTGCCATCTCTTCAGGCTCCTCCGCTGGCTTAGAGGCTTTTCTTCTCTTCCGTCGGCCCTGTCGCAACGATCTCCCGTGAGAGATTATACTGTCCTGGGGTTCTGCTGTGGGTGTTCGCTCAGGCCTCTTCTCCGACCCTGCTGCCTGTTCCCTACACACCCTTCAGCCTTGTCGCAGCGATCTCCAGCGAGAGTTCGCACTGTCCTGGGGGCTGACTCCGGCAATCTCTTCAGGCTCCTCGGCTGGCCCGGAGGTCTCTCTTCTCTTTTGTCGGCCTTGTCGCAGCAATTTCCCGTGAGAGATAGCGTAGTCCTGGCGTTCCACGGTGGCTCTTCGCTCAGGCCTGTTCTCCAGCCCCGCTTCTTGTCCCTTCAACATCCTTCGGCCTTGTCGCAGCGATCCTTGATGAGAGTTCGCGCAGTCCTTGGGCTTGACTTTTGCCATCCCTTCAGGTTCCCCCACTGGCCCAGAGGTTTCCTTTCTTCATTTCTTCCGGCTCTGTCGCAGCGATCTATGGTGAGAATTCGCACAGTCCTGGGGTGTACAGCTGGCTCTATGTTGTGTGGCCCTTGTCAGGGCTATCTTCCCGACAACCTTCGATGCGGGCGCCTCACTTGGTGCTTCTCTGTCATCAAAGTCTTTTCAAGGCATCGGCGTTCTCCTCACCCTCCAACATGTGAAGCTCTACGGGGATTTGTGGGCAGGTTGATAAGGTTATGCGCTTTGCGGCACTCCTTTCGCGCCACCCCAGACCCCGTAAACTGCAACCCAGGACTTTCCGAGGACCTAGGTTTAGGAGGTTCTAGTGGTTGTACGTTGTGGGCGCATCTTTTAAGGCTGCCCCGACGCACTGCCAGTTGTTCGCGACAAGTCTTTCATACCGACCTTGCAGTGGGACGCCAGGAGTGGTGCCATGTAAGTCCTAAGATTCACCAAGGCGCCGTATTTGGCGGCCGGAAGCTTGGGCACGGCGACACCTTTCTTAGGGATAAGGTTCAACCCCTGACCCCCTTAGGCCCTTCCCTCGAGGACCTTACCTCTTACAACACTGTACCTTGCGTAGACCCTCAAGGGCCTTATGCACACCTGATACCGCCAGAGCATGTCTCCCCGGCAACAGCTCTCTCTTCTGAGGCTCTGCAGCGCAATGAGTTCTGCTCGCACCCACATGTTGTAGGAAGCACACTGACCCATCCTCAAGCTACTCATCCTCAAACCGAGGACGGAACCTTTGCTGAAAGGCTTGCGACTCTTTTGGAGGCAGCAGCAGAGACCGCCCAAGGTCTACTTCTCTCGTGGCTTGCCCTGGTCACAGCCACAATTGCCCGCTTGTTGCTGTGGAAGGGAGGTCGACGTAATTGCGTCATTCGTCTCCTCAGAACTTTAACGGGGCAGCACCTCTCGATGCTTTTGGCAGTTCAAGGAATGCGAGTTTCTGGCAGCTCGGTCCCACCCACCGAGACTTGTGCAAATGCAGCATCTCAATCGAGAGGACAGCCTGACAACCAGCGTTTCGCAACTCTTAGCAAGTGGGGACGTGGAAGGATTACACATGCACAGACCTCCTGCGGTCTACCTTCGTGGTTTCCCACCTCTGCTGATGAGCGTCGGACTCAGCCAGCTGATGCTCCGAGCCACACAACTGCCTCACCGCCGGCTTTTGTGCCCCCTCCAAAGAAGCAAGACGCTTCCTCCGTAGGGGGCCGGCGTCGAAGCGCAGGGAAGGGAGTGATTCCATGGATATGCATGCCTGCATGTCTCGGAATTGTCTGCCTCTTACAGCTCCAAGTATGCGGTACTTGTCCTGTTGAAGTTATTCCCTGGGATTACCCCTACCATAAGACCCCCAGCATGTGGCAGCATGAAGGTTTCTATACAACCTGGCTCTCGACGGAGCATTCCTTGCAGCTTCCCACCTCTGCTCCATTGGGTCTTGTTCCGGTTTTTGGGAATAGCCTCTCCCTACCTGGCACAGCCGCCCAGGTGACAGGTGCTCTGCCCGGCCCTAACCTTCAGTCCCCTTTCGGTTTCTTTAGGGATGTTACAAAGAGATGGTGTCGCTTCGCCTTCCGCTTCGGAGAGGCTGACCACCCAGGTCCAGAGCATAGTGGCAGCCATTCTTTGCAAGGGGCCACCCTCATCGACGCCATTGAACCGGCAGCACGGCAACGCGCATTTTTCCTCGCAGCTACACTGATTGACACACTTGCGGAGCACTTTGCGCCGGAAGGGAAGAAGGCTTCAATGGAGCCCGCTCTTGCGCCCGAAAAGGATATGGCTTCCGACCGCCAAAGGCCCATCCCTACACCCTGCAGAGGTGGATCCCCCTTAGGACCGTGGGTAACTAATGAGGCAATGCGCTCGCCACAGGACGCCCAAGTCGCGTGCCATGATGGTCTGCAGCTCAGCACGTTACTGGATACCACCACACCTGCGGAGAAAGAAAGAGCTTTCCTCCAAGCAACGGCCCTGATCGAGACTGTTCAGGGTAATGGGGACGCAACGAAGAATCTCGAGGCCGACATCGTTTGGAAGATAGGGCGTAGCGTAGCTGAGGTTGAGCCCTTCCTGCGCTCTTGGATGTCTTTGTCCTCAGCTCTCCCCCCTGGGATTACCCTCCATCCTAACACCAGAGCGGCGCTCTGTTTGGTGCCTCACATCTTTGGCGCCCCACACTCGGTGGACAGGGTCAGGGTTTTCACGGACGGTTCCTATAACGGCCAGCTCTCCTCATGGGCAGTAGTGGTACTTTTCATCTCACAAGGCTTTGTACAAAGTGTGGGATGGGCAGCTGCTCTTGTTGAATGCCAACCCTCGAACAAAGGCTGGTTGGGAACTTCTGCCCACTCGGCGCCGGCCGGCGAAAAAGCGGCCATCGCTTTTACAGCCCTGTACGCACTCCAGGCCCCAGCAGAAAGAGCCATCGAGATCCGATCTGATTCGCTGGTGGCTTTGCAGCAGTCCATTGGAATATGGAGTGCGAAAGAGTCCGACCTTGCAGCAGCCACAGCCCGCAGTCTCTATCAGGCGGCGGCCACGACGAACCGGCTTTCCACCCTGGCGGCAGCACACGTTCGTTCCCATGAAGGGGACCCGTGGAATGAATTGGCGGACTCCTTGGCAAAATGGGCCTTGCAGGAGCAACAGCCAGCTCTGACACCCCCCTGGGACATAGCAGCCTGGGTTAAAGATCAATCAATCCAACATCTTTGGCTTCTTCTGGCTGCAAGG